AGGTTGCCATCGAAATCGTGATGATGATGATGATGACAACGATTTTAAACATTATCGGATCATGATGTTAAACATTACGCAACTAGCTTTTGTGTCCCACTGTAAGCAGTTGGAGACTTTCTAGCGACCAGCTTCATATGCATTAATTTTATTTCAGGATTGTTGGTGATGCAGGTATCTTGTCAATGGGCAAATCAATGCTGGTATTACTGGCAGGAGCTAACACTGAATCTATCGGCGATTTGCTGGAAAGAATTTTCACGATGCTGTGCAAGTGTAATAAGCATAATTCGGCTCTTATTCTAATTGGTACAGTTTCTCGCTTGCTAATTCTAAGCTGGAACTTTCTATGTCTTTTTCGACTTTTTCTCAACACTGCTAACGACAGATTACTTATAATAAATCAGATGTAATTCATAGTCTGTGTTGTTGGCAATTTTTCCCACTCATTTGCATCACTTAATGATCAGTATCGTGAATGGAGCCCCTTTTCAAAAATGATTGTGGACCAGGAGGAAATCGAACCACTTCCCTTCACATCCAGATGCGACGTACTAACCACTACGCTATCGGTTTCTGTGCTCCAAGATCAACTTGGCAGAACATTTGCTGTATGCCTGCTTTTCAAGGCGGAATACACCTTTCTTTTTTTTAACTGCCTCCCACAGGCGGTGTGCAACTTTTTCCATTGTGGCGGCTTCTTTTCCAGCTTTTCATGGGTTTCCCGCGACAACTACTCTTTTGGCGATTTTTTTTTTTGTCTCCCGAAGGGGCTGCTAGTTCAACAGATCTTTGGAGGGAAGCAGTTGGCAAAGTTTTTGTCGTTACAAGATGTCTTGAAGTGTATCAAGAAGCACCGCTGCATTTTGAACGTTGCCACTTTTTTACTGTGACGAGGAACCCTACGGGGTGCCGTACCTCGTCTTTTTAAAGAACTGGGGGTGTTCAAAATGATGGGGTGCATGGCACGGTACCTCAGAGTTTCAGCAGTTTAATTTTGGTTTAATCACTAGTAACCTGAATGTCTATATGTAGATGAGGTGAGCTCGGAATTCAAAGGAATAGAAAAACTTCCAGCTGCTTCACCAACCACAGGGGAGCAGCTAATCAGGGTATCAAGGTAACCAGATACCGGTAAGGGTCGACTACTGGATTACCAAATTGTTGCCTTTCAAGATTACCGAATTGTTCTGTTATTTTCCCTTTCTGCAATTTCAGATACGATTGTTGAAATTGTTTTGAAGCATACAGTTCATGTTTTGAATGCCTGGAAATCATTGGAGGGTTGGATTGATAGCATTTTTAATTTGAAGCAGGTAATCATTCTACCATTCAAAGCGCAATTAATGCAGTTATGTACAATACAAAACGTTAATTATCTAAGCGGACGCGGAACTTGGCCACTGACGAAAGCAGAAGAGCGAATGCTATCTGAGACGAAAATAGCAATAGTCCAAAAATTGACTTTCTTCGTAGCCATATAAATAGTCGCGTTCTTCGACACAATGAATGGTGTATGGGTTTCTACACTACTATCACACTAGGAAGTAAAATCTGACAGGCGTGCCTTAATGGCCTTGATGGCACTCGGTGAACTTTGCGTATGAGCGAATTGTAACTGTAAGAAAGTAAACTGCGACTTAGGCGGCCTTCAAAGAGATGATGCACATACATAGGGGATGTTCAGTTTAGGTTCGAAGGGCTTGGGATAGTTGCGCCAGGTAACATTGCTGAGGTAATATCCCAGTAATATCACTGAGGTAATATCTCCAAATCAGTTTTTTAGGCTTAGACAGAAAAGTATTCAAAATTATGAGGTTAATGAAAATAGGTGGCGATTGTATTGAACATTTAATTATTTCCTATATAGCGTATGCATCAAACATTGTTATATTAAATATTAAATATATTAATAGTTTCGTACGCATTTAAGTACGGGGATTTTCTGAATTTTTTTTTTTGCAATTTTTTTGAAAAATTAAATATTTTGATAAATTTCCTAATGAATCAGCTTATTTTCGTATGGTTCATGCGGGTATATGATCAGTGTAACACTTCGTTCAGACGTACATTGCCTTGATAATATCACTCACTTAAAGCCGACATCACATTTTATTGTTGTGGATATCAGGCGGATCCAGAGAGGTTTCTTGAGAGGGGAGGGGGTTTCGGTGATTCTTCTCCTTTCCTTTTCCCCACCGGCTTACCTCTTCACCCCCCTCTGCCCTTCCCCTTCTCCCTCCTTTCCGCCTTGTCTCCTCCTGCTCGTCATTGCGTCGGAAGCCGCACTCTCCCCTCCGTCCCCAGCCCCTTCCCTCCTCCCTCCAGAAATGCGCCAATGTATATCATGCCGTACTGAATTTTATGCAAAAATCATTTCTCTTTTTTTCAGGATATTGGGATATCGCTAGTTCGTGCACTATTGCCTATAATTGTTCTTCGTCCTGAACTCGTCTCCATCATATTAAATCAAGTAAAGCAGCATGTA